CCTCTTTGATGTAGAATGTCTTCATGAAGCTTGAGTGCCTAGTGCCCCAAGTGTGACACCTCAAATGGTTCACACAACACCAAATACACTTGGAATAACTTGAGAGAAACTTGAACACTCCTTGAAATCGTCTAGCCCTCACACTCACACATTAGTGCACGATTTCTTGAGCCATGGGATTCTTTTATATGGTGGCTATTAGGGTTACACCATGTAACTCATAACTTTACCCATTCCTTATGCTCCATGGATTTTAACCTCCATGGAGTATCCATGGGTCACCCCATGGACTTAGTCCAACATAAGGAATCTTGGATCACAAGCCCACATATATAAGAATGAATGATTTACACAATCAACCCATATATTTAATTAGTCTCCTTTTGATCACTTAATTAATTCCAAATTAATTCTTGATCAATACTAATTAAATAACCTTATTAATATATTAGAACTTATAATATATTAACCAACCTTAAGTGTTATTTCTCTCATTATAGTCTATCCAAATGCATGATGCCATGCAACCCAAATGGACCATGCCGGGTCGGGTCAAGTCTTACCAATTATAGTTATGGACTTAGACATTAATCCAACAAAGAGGCCGTTTGCTTTTACTGCAATCAAAAGGGGCATTGGAAGAGATCTTGCCCACAATATCTGCAAGATATCAAGGATGGCAAAGTGAAGCCATCTTCGGCAGGTATTTACACTATTTCTGCTAATAACTCATTATCTTCTCGTTCATGGGTCCTTGATACAGGATGTGGTTTTCATATCTGTTCTGATTTGCAGGGGCTAAAGGAAAGTGAGGAGATAGAGCGAGGAAGGATAAACTTGATCATGGGAAACAGAAAGTCTTCACCAGTAACCAAGATCGGGGTTTATCAGCTTCTGCTTAGTAATGATGTTAGATTAGATTTGATAAATTGTTGCTATTCGTCTGAGACGACAAGAAACATTATTTCATTTCATGCATTGTTCAGACAAGGTTTTAAATATTCTTTTAATGATTTGAATGGTTCAATTTCTGTTTATAAGAATGGTGTTTTTATGTTTGAAGCTTTACCTTGTGATGGTGTGTATGAAACAGTGACTTGTGTTGATAGCTTAGGAAATAGTGTACTTAATATTGACTTGTCTAATAGTATAGACAAGGCATGCTTGTGGCATTGTCGTCTTGGACACATTAACAAGAAACGCATAGCCCAACTCCAAAAGGATGGAGTGTTGGAATCATTTGACCTAAAATCAGATGATATGTGTGAATCTTGTCTTTTGGGAAAGATGACAAAATCACCATTCACAGGGTCTTGTGAAAGAGGTGAAGGTCTGTTGGATCTCATACACACAGATGTGTGTGGGCCCTTCAGATCAACTACAAGAGATGCTAATCGATTCTATGTGACTTTCACTGACGATTATAGCAGATATGGTTATATCGACTTGATCAAGCATAAGTCAGAAACCTTTGAAAAGTTCAAAGAGTTTAAGCATGAGGTCGAAAATCAATTGGGCAGGAAGATAAAGATACTTAGATCCGATAGAGGCGGGGAGTATCTTAGTATCGAGTTTAACGACTATCTGAAAGAATGTGGGATAGTCTTACAATTGACTCCTCCTAGGACACCACAATTAAATGGTGTAGCTGAGAGGCGTAATCGGACCTTGTTAGACATGGTTCGTTCTATGATGAGTCGTGCTTCGCTTCCTATTCAATTCTGGGGGTATGCCTTAGAGACAGCCGCCCACATCCTCAATCTTGTCCCTACAAAGAAGGTTGCCAAACACCTCACGAAATGTGGACGGGGAAAGTTCCCTCGTCGGCACATATTAAAGTCTAGGGTTGTGAAGCTTTCGTAAGACGAGAGACTCACGACAAGCTAGCAGCTAGAAGTGAGAAATGTGTTTTCATTGGTTACCGAAAGCAGTCTTTTGGATATTTGTTCTACAGGCCTAGTGAAAACGTGGTCTTTGTAGCACGAAGAGGAGTCTTTCTAGAAAGGGAGCTCATATTCAAAGAGGACAGTGGGAGCACCATTGAACTTGAAGAAATTCAAGAGTTAGCCAATAAAGAAACCTTAGATGACACTAGCACTCAACCAGAGGAAACAGTTCCTATTGAACCAGTTGATAACTCATTACCTCTTCGAAGGTCCACTAGGGTGAGTGTGCCACCTGAGTTGTATGGTTTTCATATTACTTCAGATGGCGACACATTCATAAGTGACAGAACACTGGTAAACTTAGATGAACCAGTCACTTATAAGGAAGCAATGGCAGGCCCAGAGGCTTCCAAGTGGAAAGAGGCAATGGACAGCGAGATTAAGTCCATGTATGACAACCATGTTTGGAATTTGGTTGATAGTGCACCAGGTCGTAAGACAGTTGGGTGCAAATGGATCTTCAAGAAGAAGACAGACATGGATGGGAATGTGCATACATTCAAGGCTCGACTGGTTGCAAAAGGTTTCACTCAAACCCCAGGGGTTGACTATGATGAGACATTTTCGCCAGTAGCTAAGATTAAATCTATTAGGATATTGCTCGCCATAGCTGCCTTTCATGACTATGAAATCTGGCAGATGGATGTCAAGACTGCTTTCCTTAACGGGAAGTTGGCTGAGGATGTTTACATGAATCAGCCAGAGGGTTTTGTTGATGCAAAGTTTCCCATAGAGTGTGCAAGCTTGAGAAATCCATTTATGGATTGAAACAAGCATCTCGCAGCTGGAATCTTGCTTCCATGAGAAAGTCAAAGAGTTTGGTTTCTCTAGAAGTGAAGATGAGTTTTGTGTGTATATCAAGGCTAGTGGGAGTATAGTAACTTTTCTGGTGTTATATGTCGATGACATATTACTCATTGGTAACGACGTTCCAACCTTGAAAGAAGTTAAGTCTTGGCTTGAAAAGTGTTTTGCCATGAAAGACCTTGGAGAAGCTGCCTATATTCTTGGGATTAGAATATTGAGAGATAGAAAGAAGAGACTAATTGGACTTAGTCAGAGCACATACTTGGATAAGGTACTAAAGAGGTTTAGTATGGAAAATTCCAAGAATGGAGAGCTACCTATCCAGAGCAATACCAAATTGAGTAAGACTCAATGCCCGAGTACAGATGAGGAAATAGATGACATGAGTCGTGTACCTTATGCTTCCGCTGTCGGATCGATCATGTACGCTATGACATGTACTCGCCCTGATGTGGCTTTTGCTTTAAGCATGGTCAGTCGCTATCAGGAAACCCAGGTAGAGCTCATTGGATAGCAGTAAAGAATATACTCAAGTATTTGCGAAGGACAAAGGACTGGGTCCTTGTACTTGGTGGCAATGATACTTTGAGAGTAGATGGTTATAGTGATGCCAGCTTTCAGACGGATAGAGATAACTTCCGTTCTCAGTCAGGCTAGGTATTTTTACTGAATGGAGGAGCAGTTACTTGGAAGAGTTCCAAGCAAGATACGGTGGCTGATTCTACTTGTGAATCAGAGTACATAGCAGCGAGTGAAGCGTCGAAAGAAGCAGCTTGGTTGAGGAACTTCATCGGAGATCTCGGAGTTGTTCCAACCATCCAGGAGTCTATGGAACTGTTCTGCGATAATGAAGGAGCGGTTGCCTTGACAAAGGAACCGAGAGATCATGGTAAAACCAGACATATCGACAGAAAGTACCATTTCATCAGACATAGAGTAGAAGAAGGTCATCTTATAGTAAATAGGGTGTCATCTGAAGATAACCCAACAGATCCCCTCACAAAGGGTCTGAGTAGGGCTAAGCATATTCGGCATGCTCGGAGCATAGGACTGAAAGATGATATTAGTTTTAGTAGTTAGATTAGTTTTGTTCTGAAACTTGTAACAAAGTAAATGTAATTGACTTTTGGTGATTAAATGATAAAGTATTATTTATAAGTTTGGTTTCTGCCTTTTGTCAATTGTTTATTGTTGTGTTTCATTTTTGCATGTTTTACTTCCCGAATAATAAGATTATTCAAACTCCACAGTCGCTCGTACTTTTGGAAGTAAGTAGTGAATCAAGACTGTCATGAACTGGATTTTAGATTGTCTAAAGGATAGACATGGCAATAGAATTGCTGCAACATTCATGAGTACTCAGAAATTGAGATTTGAGTATTGGATAAACCCTCGCTCAGAGTATCACTTCATGGAATTCATCACGAGTAATACTGAGACGATAATATCTTATAATCTTGAAACGAAGATATATGAGTTGTAATTTACAAAGTCGGTTATACATTGGTAATACAAAAACGCATCAGTAACTTGGTGTTATAAAACGTATTGTCATGTATAATTTGATGAGTAAAACCAAAATCAGATTGGAAAATTGTGATTTTTTATTTTGGAAAATACCAAACCATCGGTTTTTTATTTCGGTTTCGATTTTTCGTTTTTTTTAATATATTTTTCGGGGTTTGTTTTTTTTTATTTCATAGATTTCTTCATCAACAAATGTTGCTACAATTTAACAAAAATAAATAATTTGGTAAAACATAATATAAGAGGAAGTTTGTTCACATTTAGTCATTGAATATTTTAGAGGGAAACAAACTTTCGATTTTGTTCACATTTAGTCACTAAACTTTTTTTCGTTATCTATTTGCCACAAAACTATTGAATCTGTTCATATTTTACCCTTATGACCGGTAACAGCCGGTCATAATGGTAAAATGTGAACAGTTTCAATAGTTCAATGACAAATAGATAACGAAAAAAAAATTTAGTGAATAAATGTGAACAAAATCGAAAATTCGTTATCCTTTCAAGTCATTATCCCAAAATATAACTTTTAAAATATTTTATTTGGTATATGGATATACATCAAAATTTTAAGAAATATAGAAAATAAAAAGAATTAAAATTTAATTATTACTAACAAGATATGCTAAAGATCTTGTTATCCAAAGCAATACAACGACTCCTTTTTTAATTAAAAAAAGGAGAGAGTCCGTAAAAGAGAAGTCATGGAAAAGTGGATATATTTTGAATTTCAAAAACACTAATAATTAAAATACTCACCAATTTATTAATCAATTCATTTCTCTTTCAAAAATGCCCCAAAACCCTAGAAATTGTTGCTTCTCTATATATTAATCGTCCAATTTTTCTTCACAAAAATTCCTGATATTTATCGGTAAGTATTTAGTGTTTTTCCCCAATTTTTTTCTTACTTTTTTTTTATTTGATTAATTTTGTATTTTCAGTAACTGTAAAATTATGAAAAAGGAAACCATTTTCGGATTATGTCTACTGTAATTCTCATTTTGCTTTTTAATTTATTTTATTTTTGCTAGATTTTCTTCAAATTTTGGATGAATTTTGATTTCTGAAGTGAGGTTGTAAGTTTTAAGAATGATCCTTGTTATTAGGGCTTTTTGTGTTGCTGATTTTGGTTATTCAAGTGAAAATTATGGTAAATTTGTGTTTTCTTGTAGTTATTCAGCTTAGAAGTTTGAACATATGATTTTGCTCTGGATTTTCTTTCCAACTGATGATTTTGATTTGCCATGTTATTCCAGGCAATCTGTTGTTTATGTATTTTAGCTTTTCCGGCGAAGAGTATTGAAAAATCGTGTACAAAATGAACGGATCTGAATCTGGAAGACTCTTCGAGTCATCGATGACTCCAGTAACGTCTCAGCCGCCGGTGAACAACGTCCGCGTGGGATACACTCCCGGCGTTACTAGTTCTTACAGCGATGTAATGTTTAGCGGCGGTGGAGGCGGCGGTGGTGGTAGTGGGGGTGCAAGCTTCCATCATAACATTAACATTAACGAGCACGGCGGTGGTGAGTCGATGATGAAAAAGAGGGGGAGGCCGGCGAAGTACCATCCTGAAGGCTCTATGTCACCGTCGCCCGTTACTGCAGCCAGGCCAGCAAAGTTAACACCTGTCGGTGTCACGGTCAGCGCTTCGTTGAACGGCTCTTTTGAACAGCAGCAACCACAATCAGCTCCTCCTATTTCCGCCGTTCCTCCTCCTATCTCCGCCGCTCCTGTTAGTTCTATTCCTCTGGATGAAGGATTTCCATCACAAAAAAAGGTCAGAGGTAGACCTCGTGGTTCATCGAACAGGAAAAAGGCAAGGGAATCTCTAGGTAAACAAAACTTCCTCTTACTTCAATTTTTATGTAAATCATTTATTGTCCAATTAGCTTTACAATCACATTGCCTGATCAATTCAAAAACTGACATTTTCATTTTTAGATCCAAAGTTTCATTCACCATAAAAGTCGAATCTTAATTCTTAATGAATAGTACTTTTTCAAAAACTTAAGCAGTATCTTCCTGAACTTGATCTGGATCCCCACTATATCTCTTTTTGTTGGATTTAGGGTTTAGAGTTCTAGACTTCTAGCTATAATTGCATCAAATTGAGCCTTTGACTGTTGAAATTTGGGTCAATTCAGATCTAAGTTTTCCTTACTGTGCATATTATATCCTGTTAGCCACGTGATAGTTGAACACTTGAACATAGAATGTTTTTTTTTGACTTTCTTATGTGGGCTCTGCTTTTTGATTAATTCTTGTTTGACTTCACTAGATGCTATGTGTATCAATAATTGAATTTTCTTGTGATTTTGGATCTCATTTCTGTTGACTTTTCTTTTGATACTGTCAAACTAAATTGCTTACAGAAACCTTGGATTTTTATATTGGAAATTTTATATTTGTAGGATCACCTGGATTCGGTTTTACTCCACATATCATTGTGGTGCAGCCTGGAGAGGTTACTTTCATTTTCATTCTCATTTTCGTCTTATTGCTTAAATGGCATTCTACTTCATGTTTTTTTTTGGTATTATTAGAATTCTAAAAATGATATTAAAAAAAATATATATTTTTTTAAATAAAATTTCAGGATGTGCTAAACAAGATCATGTCATTTTCTCAAAATGGACCAAGGGCTGTCTGCATCATGTCTGGCATTGGTGTCATATCAAATGTCACACTTCGTCAAGCTGCGACTTCTGGTGGAACTGCAACTTATGAGGTTCATCTTTCATCTTTGATTAAATATCTAGAGTAAATTACAGTTTTGGTCCCTGAGTTTAACATTCTTTTTCAGTTTTGGTCCCAAAAGGAATCGGGTTGCAATTTTGCTTCTTATTTTGGTTTTTATAAACTTAACTTAAACAATATTTTCTTTTCAGGGGCGATTTGACATATTAGCCCTTTCGGGTTCATTTGTCCTCTCAGAAATATACGGTCAACGCACAAGAACAGGCGGTCTAAGCATCACATTATCCGGACCCGATGGTCGTGTTTTTGGCGGTGTTGTAGCCGGACTTTTAATTGCCACATCTCCTGTTCAGGTTAAAATGACTAAATTACCCTTTTTCTACTAGATACACTAATCCCATCAAGGGTATAATCGTAAATCTGATACTTCTTATTGCAGGTTATAGTTGGAAGTTTTCTTCCTGAAACCTCTAAAGAACATACCCCGGCTAACCATGGTGAACCGTTGAACCCAAAAGTCATGGCGGCTCACCAACCGAACCATGGACCCGGACCCGGACCCGCACCCGCTAGCTCACCGTCTCATGGGACCATGAGTGAGTCATCGGGTGGGGCCGGGAGTCCAATGAACAATAGTAGCCCTCAAGGCATGGCTAGTATGCCATGGAAGTAGTGGTGTTAGTTGAGGGTATAATTGTAATTTTAGTTTAGCATTTTGTGTAACTTTTTTTAGTCTTGAGTTACCAGCAAGCAATGTCTTGAATTTTTTTGCTGGAGAGATGTTTTTTTTTTCCGGGGTCAAATCCGATGCTAATGTATAGGTATTTAAGCATGATGTACAAGTTGTTAATGCATTGCATCGTTGGATTTGGTCATAACCCTGAGTTAGTTATGTAACGATTGGTTAAACAAACCCATCTTTGCCCTTATGTGTAATGCATTAGGAATGTGGTGTTTTAATGTCTATATTGGGAGGTTTTAATGTTTTATAGTCACAAAGATTTTATTTATTTATTTTTTATTTTTTTATTTTTATTACGAACCGCAAAGCTTGTGATGAGTTTAAATTGATTCGCAAAAGAGCAATACGTCTCATGAGTCATTTGAGCATCGTATCATTATCTTTATGACAATCTCAACTGCAATTTCATTCGACTTCAAATAAACATAAATTTATGTAATTCGGTTTCATATAAACATGAATTTATCTAAATTAGCTACAATAACGCCTGAAGATGCCATACGAACTTCCATCGTCACTAGCTAAGATGTCTGATTATGTATTCAAATCGATGTGCTTGTGTTAATTGGTAAAGTTTAAGGAGTCTTCTTTAAGGTATTATATTTTGAAATGTAAATTGTTAAAGATTACTTACATATGTGTCTAGCCAACCGTGTTCTTCTTGGGCTCGTTTAGAATAAGACTTGTCAAAATTCTAGTCCTTGCCTTACTCCTATAGAAAGGGATTTTGCATCCTTATCATGATATAGCATGATTAATTCTTCGGACTATAATGTATATATCTTGAATTGATATGATGGAATGGTTCACATGGAGTGGAAGGAGTAGTGAATATAGAATAGAAAAACACCTCGTTCCTTAATTATTCCTGATTAAGTGAAAATGATAAAAATGAAATAGTCAACAATACTTGTGGCGGGTCGGGTCCATTGAATGAGTAAAAAATGACCGATTTGCAAAAATCTGGTTCAAACGGTCGAACGCCTTATAAACCTGCCTACTTGACCTTTAAAACTAGATTTTTGTAGAAAAAATTGATAATAAATAATAATGATTACGTTGCACGATTAAGTCTTTTTTCTTATTAAAGAGTTCACCTGCAACAACTATTTTCTACAACCAACAATACAGGAGGAGTTGTGTTTTTTTCAAGTTTCCTTATAGTTTTTCACTGTTTCTTTTTATAACATCAAACAACTACATCTCTTTATCTTTATCTTCGACGTAGATAAGTTTTTATAAAAAAACAACCATTTGCTTTGTGAATTTAACCATTTGCTTTCTCTTTCTCTACCTGAATTCTACCGGTTGTTACTCTTTGCTCATGTAGCCATGACGATTCGTTTGTGGTGACTCTAAGACATGATGCATAACCTTATATTTGCACGTGAGATTAGTCGTGGTTTGCGTAAGCTGGTCTGGACACTCTCGTTAGGAAGACTCTTCTTTCCAAAGAAAAAAGTATAAGACCTCCACCATTTCTTTTAGTTATTTGTTTATTGTTTTGTCAAATAATAGAAGATGGGTCCTAGATGTTTTTCAAAATTGGTTCTTCTTTTTCCCTATATAAATACTAAATAGAATTTATAAATTACATGGGTCCTAGTACACACCTCGATACATGATAGCTTTGCCTATAGTGGAAGGGATAGTTTTTTATGGTGAGATTAACTTTGCTTATGGTTGTTTGTCACATTTAGACTGTTTGATTAGTTGTTACGATGTCTTGTAGACGAGTTCCTTCTTGGTTGTTTTCACAGGCTGTTCTGTTTCTTCTTCTTCTTCTGTTCTTCCTTATTAGGTCCAACCTACATGTCCCATACTAATGTTAGAAATGATATAAGGGGGTGTTTGGGATTTACTTTTCAAAACAGCTTATTGGTTTATTGACTTTTTGAAAAACTAATAAGTAAAAAAAAAAGTGTTTGACAAACTAAAAAACATTTTTTCAGAATAGTTTTTCCATTAGAAATGGTACAAGGGGGTGTTTGGGATTTGCTTTTCAAAACAACTTATTGGTTTATTGGCTTTTTAAAAAACTAATAAGTCAAAAATAATGTTTGACAAACTCAAAAACACTTTTTCAGAAAACTTTCCATTAGCTTCAAAAAGCATTTTTCAGTAAGCATGTATAACTTGACTTTTTGAAACTGTTTATGGCTTTCAAACCAAAATAACTTCAAAAAACACTTTTTAACCAAACACTTTTTAACTTATTGACTTATTGGTTTTTTCACCATAAAAGTTAATCCAAACACTTTTTAAAAAAACTTCTTTTACCATCACTATAAACCAATAATCACTTGTATCTAAAAACACCTTTAGAGTTCAAAAAGCACTCCCAAACACCACCTAATAAACGAAAAATAAATAAGACTGATGAAAAATAAATAGATAAGACTGATAACTATCTTGTTTGTATCGTCAACCTTATTCACTTTATCACCCTCAACCTTAGGGAAAATGACTCTTTAGGGTAACTAACTGTTGCGTTTGTTCTCATTTGGTCCCTTTCCTTTTTTGTACTCAATATACCATTGAACTTGTTGTTTGTGTTCACCATAACCCTTTTGATTGGCTTTTGACATATGATAGTCTGTCAAAGGGTTATGGTGAACACAAACAACAAGTTCGATGGTATATTGAGAAAAAAAAAAGGGACCAAATGAGAACAAATACAATAGCTGGTTACCCTCCTGATTTATTTTCCCTTTACTCATTTACAGCAAATCCCACGTCATCTACTGTTGATATTAATGACTTTATGAGATTCATTTTTGCTTCTCTTCAAAACATAACTCACGAAAGAACATTATTCATACATATGCAACTTTGTAATGCACTTGAATATTTATTAGGGGAACCTTAACTAAGCAGGTGCATTTCATGACTACATTTATATTTCCAATCAAATGATTTATCGTATCATGGATTCTAGACAAGTCTACAAACGAGTGGAATCACAAGTGCTGTGATTTTTGAGTTTACTTAGCTTTAAGATCGAATTCATGGGATAAGATACAACATCAATATGTACAATATCATGCGGCTTTTGCAGACACATCACCATAATATACCTTGAGGTAAACGTTTATGTTGATAAATATACATCTCATACATAATTATATCCTTTTGAAGAGAGGTGTTAATAGCTAACCACAATAAACATAACATAGACCATGTTTTAACGAAGTTACCCATCCGAAACGCTCTTTATATACGTTATGGTCAAAGAAGGTTGCAGTATTTGATAATTTTGCAACTTTAATTTCATTTAACTTTTCGGAGAAAATGACTCAGGAGGGTAATCAACTTTTCGGACAAAATATACCATCGAATTTGTTGTTTGTGTTCATCATAACCCTTTAACCGGCTATCACATGTCAAAAGCCGGTCAAAAGGGTTATGGTAAATACAAACAACAAGTTCGATGGTATATTGAGTACAAAAAAAATGACCAAATGAGCAAAACGCAACAGTTAGTTAGCCTCAAAATTCATTTTCCGTCAACCTTATCAACATTCTCATTTCCTTCCGATATTTTCATTTCTTTTTCATTATTCTCTTTTCCCTTATTCGTCCCACAAGACAAACCGTGTAATTTTGTGTAATATAATTTTAAAATAAAAACTAATTATGAAAACATGTTTATTTTATGTTATTTTATATTTTTGCAAAGTATGCACTTTCTGACATCATTTTATGATGATATAAAATGAACGACGGATGGATCATAAGTTTTTCTTTTGAAAACATGAGTATGAAATTTTTATATGAACTTGTAGTTTAACAAGTCAACAAGCAATTGTCTATTTTTGGAAGCATTATAACATCTTCATGAATGCGAGTGTTTTTAAAATTTAAAATATTAATAAACAACTATAAAAATTGATATTTATACTGGATTTTGAATTGTTTTTTGGATGATAATACCAATATTTATATTTTATTAAATATTATTATTTTTGAGTTTTATATTTCATACAACTAATTTTTTTATTTAATAATTTTTTATTTTAAATTTTATTTTGTTTAAAATTAAAATTTTACTATTATTGAACTAATTATTATTTATTATTATAATTTTTAAAGACTTAATATTTTTTTTAAAATATATTGCAATATATTGGTTTTAGTTAATTTATTGTTTTTTTATTTAACGCTATTGCCAAGTATTTTATTTTTATTTAGAAAAACATCATAAATGGTCCCTGTGGTTTCCCCAAATCTGAAGTTTAATCCCCGTGGTTTAAAAACGTCATAGATTGTCCCTGTGCTTTCAAAACTTTTGACGATTGGTCCTTATTGTTAACTCTGTTAAGTTTTGTCTGTTAACTAAAGGACATTTTCGTCATTTCAGTATAATGTTTTTTTTTGAAAAAAATAAAAAATTAAATATAATTATTTAATTTATAAAAGTTTTCTCTCTCTCTCTCTCCTAGATGCCATTAACCCAATCTTACCCCGCTTTTTCCTTCGATAATCCTTAAACCCCCCATGGAAATATGAGTTTAATCCTACTGGAGAACCATCAAAAACTCTTCTCAATCCTAGCATCACATACTAGATAACAATCTTCTTCATTTCTCAGTGGGTCTCTCTCGATGGATCCTTTATGAAACATCAGCGTTGTTAGGTCACCATTGAAGAACACAAAATCTGCCAAACCCAATCACTCTATCCCTCTCATTGAACCGTAGAGTCCCATCGCTAAATCCGGTGTTCTAGTATGGATCTCGCCTACCTTGTGCCATGATCACGTTTTTTGACCTAGAATTGGTTTTCTTGGGATTAAGAGAAATCATAAATCTTTTAGTTTCGTTTTCTTGCAAAGCTCATAGATTCAGATGGAATTATTAAGAGAAATCGTAGATTCAGATGGCATTATTTGTATCTATCAAAGCTCAGATTTTTTGTTTCGTTTTCTTGGGATCAATCTTCATTTGCTTCTTCAAATCGTCGCCCGTACTCATCCACCAGATCGATCCCATAATATCTCTTGCAGATCTTTAAAAATCAAATCTTGGGGAGGACCCATTTAGGAAAAACACGTTCGATCATCCGCCAAGGTCTGTTCAAATACTGGATTCAGA